TCACACCTTCACCTTGCTGCCGTACTCCCAAGGGTTGTTGAGCATGTGGCCGCCCGTCTTGCCCCAGAGACAAGGAGGTCGGCGGCGACCGCGCGAGCGAAGGCCGGCTCCCTTCTTCATGTTGAGGATGTTCTCCGGCGTTGGTCGAATGCGCCCTCCATTGTAGATCTTGGGGATTGGGATGGTAGTGCCCTCAAACCAACGGATGTGGCGCTGTCGCACTCCCTGAGGCCCGAGGAACTTGTAGAGCAAGAAGTCCTCACAAACGTTCAAGCCCAGCTCGTTGGAGTCACAGATGTCGTTGTACCTGCCGATCAGCTCCTCGCGATCCCACTCCAGGTGGGTAGGAACATCGACTGGGCCGTCTTCTTCCTGATGCTTCTGTGCAAGGCCAATGGACTTCTTCTTGGGGCGAACTCGGATCTCGTCTCCGAGCATCAGAAGGGTGGAGGGCACGTTTGTGGTCACCCAGTCTGGGGGCTTCCAGTCAGTGTCCTTGCCTGCATGGCGGATCTGGATGTGGTTCTCCCGCACCATCCAACGTGCAGCAGCCATGGTTGGTGCGAGGCCAACTCGCCACACGAAGTTGTCGAGGCGGCTTTCTAGGATCTGCATCAAGCAGTCGATAGGGTGCTTGCGGCCCTCCTTGAAGGCTCGCAAGACATACTTCGTGAGCTGGGAGATCTTGATGTTGTAGTGGCAGCTAACGCGCGACCTCTCTATCCAGTAGCGGCCAAACATGGACAGCTTGGGTGTGGGGCGCTGTCGCCAGGGCTGCTTCAACTTCTTCCGCAGAAGAGGCTTTCGTGACCAAGCAGGCATCTCACCGAAGGGCTCCAAGCGGCGCATAGTCTTCTGCCGACTTCGCACCCGGCTGGGGAAAATCCGGACCACCACCTTCTCGGCGCGCTGCCGTGAACGTCTATCTGCCATGGTGGCAACTAAAGCACACAGGGCTGCCGCTGAGGCCCGGCCAAGCACACTGGAGGTGCCTGACCCAGAGCCCGGCATGGACGGCCGGGCATCGGCCTGCACCACCATGGGCCGCTCACTCCTGGCGAAACCATGGGTCTGTGGTTGTTCTGGAAACTGCGGCGCCGGCGACAAGAATGCCTGCGGAAAAATCCAAACTGCGAAGCACGCAGCAGCAAGCACGCAGAGCCCTAAGGCTCGAGACATGGCGGCGGGTTCCTCCGCTACTTCTTGAACCCAGCCGTCTGAGAATGCCGGCGACCTCTGACAGCTACCACGCCTAAGTTACGCTACATCTACAAAGGGAACAAACGAAACTAAGTCACGCAAACGATTCAAAGAGCTGAGACCTACCATGTTGTCATTTTCGCTTTGCCTGCAGTTTGCTTCAAGAAGGCTCCTCAAAGGTGGTGAAGGTGATGCAAGTGCTCGGGGCGTGGAAGGCAGCTCGAGCACCTGCACAGAAGCCGGATCGAAGTCCCAAAAAACCTAGCCCAATCCCAGTCTCGACTTCACCTCCACGACAGCCAAGCCGGCCTGCTCCGCGAAACAATGCCCGCACGCCTCCCTCACCTTCCGCAGAGAAGGTGGCGTCGATGTACATCCAAACCCCTTCTCTACAACTTGTAGTCAGCAGAAACAAAAAACAGACATCAATGATTTGAGAATGCTTCCAAGGATGAGTATTGTGATCGTAGCAGGCCCGATCAGCAACGTGATAGCTTTCAGCTCTGACGACTCTGCTGAGAAGGGCTACCAGCTCTTGCAGCTGCCATGATACCAGGCCATCGGGCAACTATTGTACTGCACAATGCTGCACGACACTTCTCGCTTGGGACAGTCAGCCGCAAATGTAAGCTCCCAGAAGCTTAGAGCCGCACGCCACAGGCATGCCCTTACCCATCACGACTGTGCAGCAGAGCTACATACAACAGATACACCCAAATCAACTTGCTGGATACCTGAGCTGCCAACAACGCATCTCGGAGCCCATGCAGATGGCCCTCTGGTATCTCGGCACCTGCATGCACGAAAGATATGGTTTGCCTTCTGATTTTCTGATTGACAGCCGCCACACAACTGCACCTGATTTTGCTCATGTGGACTTCCCCACCGTGGGCTGCACTGGGCAACAACTGGGACGGATGCAAAAGTTAGCACAAAGAACTTCAAGGCTAAAAACAGAGCATCACAACCTCCATCGCCACGACATCCACCACCCTCATGTTCTTGCCACGGCCGCGATCAGAAACAGTGGCAATGTGAGTGATTACATGATTGGACATCATGCGACACTGTGTAGGAACTTGGACCGCGACCCGTAATTGTGGAAATCAGGAAACCTTAGTTACTTTCTTGTACCAGAACCTTGTCCTTGGTATAGTTTCAAAAGAAACGGTAGCTTCCCAAAATAGGGGGACCCGGAACCCCTATAAACCCCAAAATACTGTAGTCCTGATTAGGGTATCCCAAAATGGTACCCAAATTTAGGAAAGTCCCAAATCCACCATGGTTCACAAGCCCGGCCTGGTGGAAGGCGCAGCTGTGTCTGGAGCCGGAGCTTTGCCAAATCCAGGGGGCACGTCACAATCTCCAGTTGAGTAGTTTTTTTGGTGGTTGAACCTAGTAAGGTTATAATCCTTAGATAAAATGCTATACCCCACAAGGAGGATATGATCTTACTCTATATTGGGTACCATACTGTTGATGGAGGAAATCTTGCACCACCTAAAGTCCCTAAAGTCCCAGGAATTACAATAGTTTAGGGCCCCTAAGTGGTGCAGGATTTCATCCATCAACAGTAGCATTCCCAAATAGAATACTACTCAGTTGGCTGAGGAACCGCGGCAGCGATGGGACGGGTACTGCCACCAGCAAGAAGGACTGTGCTACTTCCGGCAGTATTTACACCGGATAATACAGCCACACGTCTAACCATAGGAGTAGGAAGTAAGTAGTCTCATATTCTGATGATCTATGCTTAGGGCTTCCCCCTGCTGCACATTGTCGTGCAAGTTCTACTTGATTTGACATTGGGGGAGAGGAGCTCTGGAGGGTCAGGGGGACTTAGAAATAGTACCTATAACCCATAGGGTAACCCTAGCTATCCCCACTATTAACCCACGTACTGACCCTAAACCCTGTATAATATAGTAGCGTCCCTTTTGTTTTCAATCATTAGTAAGTCCCCCTCTGCCTACTTGCTACGTCCGCCTGGCCTCCAAGTAATCCAACCCTCTCCCCCTAATATTAACCACCCCTCATATCAAAATATTAAATACTCCCAATATATTAAGATATACCACATAATTGGAGTGTTTAATATTAGGGGGTGGGGGAGGGGTTTAAAATCCTAAGCCCCAAACCTTACTAATGACCCCTATACACCCCTTTAAGCTTGGGGGGTTTAATTTAATATTAGGGGAGGATTACAACCTAACCTTCCCAGGGCCCAGGCAGAAGCTGCAGTGCCAGCAGACGCCGAAGCCACCAAGGTTAGAGCTGGAGGTAGCGATTTCTTAGCACATTTTCACTGTCATTGCCATAAAGAATTATTACTATCGCTATTATCAGTCTTATTACTATTACTATTACTATTATAATATTACTATTACTATTACTATGACTATGACTATTGCTACTATTCTTCTGATTACTAGTTTTCATCAGCGATTTCTTGCACGTTCGTTGAAGCTATAGCTTTGCGATTGTCGCTAGGCCCAGTAGGACTAATAATGATAACGTTCCTGGTAACAACAATGACTCTTATTACCAGTAGTAGTAGTAGTAGTAGTAGTAGTAATAGTAGTAGAGTAGTATAGTATAGTATAACTCAGTATCGTATCATTATTGTGTATAGTGGAGCAAAGAATGACACGGGAGGATTATGAGAAACACTATATTGTAGTGTCGCGAAGTCTTGTTAGTAGCAATTATATAACTAGCAAGATAGCCCATGAAGCTGAGCTGTAGGCTGGGTTAGGCTCCCGGGCACAAGCTGCCACGAGTCCTCTCGCCTGGGCTTGGATGGGCAATGCCATCCCACTAATGACTTTGTAACTCCCCATCCCCACATAGTAGTATGTATTCGCTTGTGCTATAGTGGGGCTATCTGTTCTTAGGGAGGCAAAACTAGCTGCGCAGCTGCCTGTGGCGTCCGGCTTTTCTGCACCCGTCGCAGTATTCGGCTATTATTATGGAAATGTAGGCGCTAGAGGGCGCCTGCTCATAGAAGGCGAAGTAAAGCGCCGAGAAGGGGCCAAACGAAGCGAGAGTGGCATAGTACCCCTGCAGATCAATGGCAAGTGGCAAGGCTTCATGAAATCGGTTGGAGAAAATTCACCCAATCCAATGCCTTGTAGAGGCCCAGCAGTCCTTCTGTGCGAGAGATCACGCGGAAGGCATCTAAACTCCTCTGGGGATCCAAACAGTTGTAGTCAAGCTACACCATGTCTTGAATCGGACTGAGCTGCATGCCCTGCATATGTCGGAGGTGTGGACCCGCGAGCAAGTCCTGCAGTGTCCAAAACTGCAGAGTGACTGGCGGCGGTGGGCAAAGCCTGTTGCGATCTGCATGCAAGAAATCGTTCCGCGCCTGATGATGCTAGGCCTTGGAAATCGTCTGTCCCACACTCCCCTAAGCAATTGGGTTTGTATTTGCTCTTCCCGAAGCAGCTTTTGAAGCCTTATCGTTTTTCCAGTTGTTTGTGCATTATCCTTTTCTTAACTCGTTTTCCAGGCAAAATGCAGGCACTGCAATTGGGTATGTGTCAATGGAATGTACTATGCGCGAATTACTGTGCAACCCCGTACAAGACCAGCGGAATCATGCTCTGAGGACATGACTGGACTTTCTTTGCACCTGACACATGGCAATCGCAGCCGCGGAAAAGCTCCCGTCCAAGTGGAGCTGTGGCGGCAACCCCAGTCGTGCCTGGAGCCGCTCCTTGATCACATCCACTGGGACAAAGACGAGACATGCAGCTGCCTGGCAGGTCAAGGCTACCAGGCAAGCTGCTGCACTCCATTTGCACCCACTCGTGCTTCTTCCTCACCTAGTGTCTGCACGGCGCAGCCCTCAACCACAATTTCTTGCTTCTGCTGCAACATTTCCTCATGGCACCCACGATACCACGTTCAAGCGCCCAATACCCATCAAACATGGTTTACAAGAATCCGGTCTACTGGCTCTCGGACTATTGCTGCGGTTCACCAAGGGCACCTCAACTCCTTATGAGCCATGGTCAGCAGTATTGTTTGAGCCGTGGAGATGGGGGTGTACTTGGCCACATGCAAGGAACGAATGGGCTACGACAAGAACGACACATATGACAGTAGCTCGCGTGACGCTGAAACTGTGGGGTGCTCAAACGCGCCGGGCTAAGTTTGAGTCGCTGTGGAAGATAGCACCTGACCCAAGCATGCGCGGAGTGGTTTTCTCCGCACCACAGATCCAGAGCTTCAGTGAGATGTGTGCACGAGAAAGTGAGCAAGAACGTGCTTCTCATATCCCTACTTTCAACTACTCACCATCTCCCGCTACATACACATAAATACATACACTGACATATCTAACAATTCATGTGTACAGGTCTGTACACATACATGGAAACATAAGACTGATTACATCATACATCCCTATATCGATGTGGCAACGATGTGCTGCTTTGCATTGCTTCGCGATGTGTAGGTTGACATGGGCTGACTCAGGCGCTTCTCCAAGATGTTAATCATCGATGGTAAAGCCTGGCGGCTGGGCGTTTGCACCGTGCACACCACTCTTCATGTCAAGCCAAGCATGTTTCCACGCGTTGCTTTCCTGAGACGCTCCAAGACAGAGCATTGTGGGGGTCAGTTGCCGTGAATTCAGCACATCGCGTCACAGAGCTCATCTAATTTCATCTACTGTGTAGATGCGTCTCTGACATTATTCGATGCAAGAGATGCCTGGCAGGCGCGCAAGCCCCTCGCAGCCATTCCCTAGACTTGTGGGGCTGGGGTCTAGTCAAAGGCTTTGTATAAGGAGCCCTGAACTCCAAGGACTAATGGCAGCTGCGGCCTGTCGATGGCAATGGCATTGGCGGGGCTGTGCCAGAAGCTTCCGCCAAATCACACCAGACCTCGCCTGAGACACCAGGCGTTCAGGGTTGTGCCGCTTTACAGAGTTTGACACGGATCTGACTCGCAGCAACAGGGCGATATCGAGCTTCGCGCACGGGAGGCATCCCCTCTCTCTTGTACTGTTAAAAGCAAGGTATGAATTCAATCAATATTTTGCAC